TAACATTTTAGTATTTTTTTAACACAGATATGTGTTAGACATTCGTATGATAATAAATGTGTGATAAAATTAATGTTAACGTTTAATGTACGTTCACAATTCAAAATTACAAAAATCCGAAAACTGGGAAAATTGCTGTGAGAGTTCGAAGAGTTTAGCCTCCTCCTCTCTCCCCGTCTCTCTGCTTTATTACAAGCAAAAACTATAAAACAAAACTTTAGTGCGGTTTTTTCATACTATATTGTGTAGAAATTTCTTATACGGAACCTCGCTTTGCGTGCTAGTTTTGATCGGATTTTGAGAGTAACTAACCACGCACGCACACACACACACACACGCATAATTTACTGAACATATGTAACAGTAGTTTAGTGCACTTGCGCTCATTGCTTTTAATCGTCATTTTTACATCTATCTGCAACATGTCTCTTTTTAGTGCTGCTAAGAGTTACACACTCGTTCTACTGCTAAGAGTTTTTAAATGGAAAAGACTTTGATCCGGAATGCATTCTTTGCTCATCTATAGTCCTTACGCTTTTTCAAGACATCTTCAACGCCGTTGCAATTCTTATATCACGCAAAAAATCTTTTTTTTTTTTTTTTTTCAACATTATATTTCTCTTCGTAGAATATTGTGTCTGTGGAAACTGCAATAAAAATATACCGACACGCACTAAACTGACGAGATCCGAGAAGAGAATTGAGCAATCTCAAATGATGACAATAAATCTTTCATCATCAACTAAGTAATTGTAACATTCTGCTGCATGAGAAAAAAATTATTACACATTTATACAAATTTATATGTGCACTACACATGTGCCAGTATCAAATTATATTTATAGATCTGTTTGTAGAGTTATCATCAAAGTCAAATAATATATTGATCTAGTAAATTCTTAGAAATACAACTCTCTCTTTATGTATTATGCACACACCATGTCTTAACACGTAAATAACATAATAGAGATAACATAGTAGAAAATTAAAATTACAAAATAACATATACAGAGATGTACTACGTCATGTATCTCTATAATGTTGATATTAAACTCTATTATCTTTCTCCTTCCCTCTCTCTCTCTCTCTCTCTTTCTTTCTTTCTCTCTCTCTCTTTCTTCTAACACACACATCGAAGAACTTTTAATGATGCTCTTTTACTTCAAAATCTCACATATTTCTATTATTTCTTCTATTCTAATTTCAAATAACTAATAATAATAAAAATTTTATCTTTCGATATATTTTCGATTTAGCATGAAAATACTAAACCTCTCAATAACTGTCTCTTCTTCAAACAATTGTTTGAAATAATTAATTCACAATAATCACACGATAATGTCAATTGTCATCTCTTCTTAGGGAACTCTGTTCTTTTAGCAAAAAACAGACATTTTACGCTCTAAAATAGTACGTAATATTCCGTACATAAATATTCCGTACATAAATATTCCGTGTTCTCTCATGAATTTTCATGTACAAGCTTACACAGATTTATATTTTACAAGCACGTGTTGTAAATTGAGATGAAACTGCTCAAGCAAGTAACATTTAGAATCGCAACAAAGAAAAAAACTTTTTTTGCGATTATATAAACTGATAGTTAAATATATATAAATATATATTCACTACGAATAACAATTACATGAATACAAATATATATATATATATATACACATATATATATATATATATGTATAATTTTCTTCCTTTTTATCTGCAGAGATGCTGCCTAAATTTTGGAAGATACATAGCATCATCGCTATTTTTCTAAAATCTTAGGTATCTTCTATTAAGAGAAGAAAGTTTACACTGGTGCAATGTCGTCTTAACTTACAGCACGTAAAATATATAGACAATAGTTTCTAGCGTTCTACACATCCACTTCTAAGTACATCAAATATGTATGTATATTATATATATATATATATTATTTTTTTTTATCGCGTTGAAGGACGACATTTCCCTCACTCTATCAGTGTCCTTTTTCCGCGAGAGAAATTATAGACAGCGGTCTATACACACTACTAAGAATCTTCTAATTATTAAGTAGGCTAATAAAAAAAGTCTACGATTACGGATATCATTATTGATTATACACACATGTATCTAGAGCAAGTACTATACGACGACACTTCATTCGTAGATTCTTTTTCATAAGATTATATTTTCTAGATGTTTTGCTAGATGTGTGTGTTCTCTCTCAATAGATGAGACATATACATATATATGCGAACAAAACACACGTTTTTTTCTTGTTCACGTAGAATTCCTATTGAGTACAACGCGAAGTATTTGTACAATTATATATTGTTGATCGTCTCTGTGCAACGAACAGAAAGATCGCGATAATTAAGGCTCGTTCTCCAATCTTTTATTTCGTGAAAATTCCTGCGAGAAAAAAAGCGTCAGCGCATACATCTGATTATCTCATTGTCAATAAATTCATGTATATATGTAAACAATTGATGAAGAATTAATACAAGATGAAAAAATTGTTAGATTTTGTGTAACTCTCTGTCTAATAAAGAAACTTTTTTTTCACAATTATGAGCAAAAACATATTTCTATGGTTTTAATAATTGTAAAAAAAAAAAATCACACTTTAACATATATTGAACAATAGCCTTGACTTTACAAAGATAAATCCGTTTGTCATCTGTCAATTTTTTGTTGTCGTCGTAGCATATTTTCTTAAACGCTTAATATTGCTTTTTTTACTCGCAATCATCAAGACATTGTAAATTGGCAGTGCCATTTTAAAACATTCATCTTTCGCGTTGAGCCTTTCGTGTGATATCGTTTTTCGCTTTATTAACTACATTGACATCAAGTCACTTTAATCTCGCTTTTGCGGAGCTATTTTGAACAACACTACGAATAACAATTACATGAATATAAATCGCGTCAAATAACGCGTTTTAATGCGTTGTGTAACACGCGATGTTTTAGTATCACTCGAACCTTATCAAGTGCGAACGTAATACTTTGAGTTGTATATGTTGCGCTTTTTCCCATTAAATATATCTCGTTAAATCTATCTCACACGATGAAGTAATACACAATTATTTCGGAATTTTTGGACGTACAAGAGCGTAGTATATTAACGAAGAATACAGAATGACAATAGGGAAACATTATCGTAGACACGGATTACAGATGGTAGAGACCTTACGTGTGTAGAACATCTAGACTCGCGGAAAGTATTTCACAGAGATATTTTTTTTTTTTAACGAGGCACTGTTCAGAGTTTCATACTAAAAAACAATAACAACTATTATTTTTTATCTTTATCGCGTAATATACTTCGCGCCGCGACATGTCGCTCGCGTACTACAGAGTGTAATTACACATAGTGAAAATAAATCTCTCCTCTCTCTCTTAACGTTTATCTCTTTTCCGCGGTATTTAAATTATTTAACTTTTATAATTCACACTTAGGCTACCAGATTCAATATAAGCGACGAACTCTTTCTTTTTTTTTTTTTTTTTTTAATCTTTTCTATTATAGCATATACACACATAATAGGCGATAGATTTATATAGATAAATTATCCGAAACACACATACCGATGAGTTTAGTTTTAAATTAAAACTTTTTTCACCTTTTTTTTATTACAAATTTTAATTAAGCTACACTAGCATTTTTTATGAGCCACCAATACGGAGGAAAACTGAACTTATCATTTTTAATAAAAGAGAAATAATTTTTCAACACAATTTTTTCACTCTAAAATAAAACAAAACGTTACAATTGTCTTCATGCTTGTAGAAAGAAAATTATAATGCAACAGATTTTTTTAATAAATCTTGGAGGACACGAGAGAGAGATGTTACGTGGATAGGTGGCTCAGGTCTAAGGGTGATATGTCAGCTGTATATATATATGTATGTACATAATATATATATATATATTCTTCTTTATTTATGTATATATATATATCAAATTGTTTACTTTAAAAAATTACAGAGATCATTTTGTTTACGAATTTGTCATTAATGACAAATAAGAATATGTTGCGGGAGATGTGTGTGGTATAATAATACAAATCTATGATACAATATAAAAAGCGAAATAAAGTGTATAATGTAACGGAGCAAAAGAAAGAGCATGGACAATTCGTTAAAAACAGATAAAGTAAAATAATATTAAAAAATAAAATCGAAGTTTTACTTTCATCAGAATTTTGATGCAACGTTGTTAAGTAAATATACACCTATACACGGGTTTTTCATTTCTACTACATCATTACATAAATAGATATATCATCGATATTTAAATTTGTGTCATTTGTTTACAAAAATAAAACAAGACGAGAATTAATTCTATCTATCATTGAAAATAAAAATTCCCTATCTAATTGCTGGCCAAAGACGTGAAACTAATTGAAGAAATAGTTCCGCGTATTTGGTTGATTCTCTTGCAATATATTTGACAAGAGTTGCAATATAAGACAAGAGTTTAAATATGAGAATTTTGATTCTTAACTATTATCGTATGATATACATATATATTCCTATTTGATGCAAAAACTTGCTGTTACTCAGCTCAACAGAACAAAGATTCTGCTGATCAATAGATCTTGATCATTTATGTGATTTGCACATATTGTAGCATTGTTCGTTACCTCTGTACAATAATCGCGCGCGCGCAGCGAGTCACAAAGTGTAAATTTATAAATATAAATTTGACTTCTTATAATGCAACTAGTATTTTAATATAGATCAGATGAAGCCTGTTTTTCGAATATTAGATCTTTGTGTCTACACATATTTAGAAGATAAAAAAAAAAACAAAAAAACAAAAATCAAGATAAAGGATCAATGTGCTTTTTTTCACCATGAACAAGCTTCTTCAAATACATAAAATATGAGAATATCAAATAACGTAATAATACGACGCATTTATAAAAAAAAAAAAATTATAAATAAAACATATATTAATATATTATCTAGTTAAAAAATATATAATATATATTAATATATATTTTGCATATACACTCACAGCGCTTAACTTTTTATATATGCTGTATTGTTACTCTTCTTAAATAAAAAATTTAAAAATTCTAGATATATTCAACTCATAATAATACTCACACACACATATTCACATAGATAATTTAATATAATGAAATTTGTGTGTGTGTGTGTGTGTCTGTATATATGGGAGCGCACGCGTTTGCATGCGCGCGTGTGTGTATGTGTGTGTGTCTATGCGTGTGTATTGTGTGACTCGTTACAACGTCCGATATGACTCAGAGCGTGAAATTTTGATTCATGATCATAAATATACTTCACACATACATCACTTTGCAGATGTTTTTTTCATAGATTAGCGATTATTATTCAATAGGTCATCAAATTCATATAGATCTTGCTATATGTGCGAGCGGTAATATACATATAATATGTAAAACTTAACATATGATCTTATATATTAGATTTTTTTTTTTTTAATCATTCATACTTAACCTGGTCTATATTCATACATCCTCATCTCAACATCTTGATCGCCATCAACTAGATTACTCACGCAGTTTTAGATACATTAATTAAAATTTGAGATGAATCTCGCTCATTTCTGGTATTGATCCATCGAGAACCACGATTACTGATCGATTCTTGCCTACGTGGACGAGCAATCATCGCTGGTCTACCGGAACGACCGATCATCGGTGGTCTACCAGGACGACCGATCACCGCTGGTCTACCGGGATGAGCGTTCATTGCTGGTCTACCGGAACGACCGGGACGACCGGGACGACGGTCTACCGATCGACGCTGATGGAGAGGTGGTGGCAACTGACGCGCTATCGGTTCCTCGACAATACAAGGTATGGACATCTTGTCCCAAGTAGATTTGTTAACTGCTGCAGCCAGCCCGTGAACGCATACGACGCTCTGTGGATGAGGGTGACAGGGATGCTGATGCTGTAATACGAGAGTTGTTGGTGGTGGAGGCGGGGGCGGTTGGGGATGCGAAGGAAGGGAAGTGAGCCACGTCACGCCTGGCTCTGCTATATGTCATTTGCTGGTTTGTTGTAAAGCTGTATTGATTTGCGTCCATAATTCTTTATTACAGTTTTGAGACCTAAAAAAAAATATTAGTTTTTCTCGCAGCTCCGTACTCTTGTCCGCTTAAATACGTTAATTGTAAAATGTGTATTTTTATATTCGGGCTTACTTTTTGATCGATTGTAACCAATCTTTGAACTGGCTATTTCCGTCAGGACTCATTTGGAAGGCAGCTCTCGCCGCGCAAACAATACTAACAAATTCTTCGTAATCGGTAGCTTGTAAATGATACAGCTTTTGATGCATGCACTGAATGTACCTAAAACAGAGATATACAAAATTCACTCAAAAGTGGAAGTCGATATTCATGTTTCGCTGTAGAATTTTTTATTTTTATATGATAAAGAGCAATACTAACATTTGTTGACATTTGTGTATCATTGGGGATAGTAACGCGGATCTTAAATGTTGTATTATGAGCGCAGGATTGTTTCTGGCAAGATATTGAGCTGCCTCTAAAATAACCTGATGAAGGACAAAAGGACTAACGATGCTGTTCACGGTACAAATGCAGAGTTGATGCATATACTGCGTGCCGAGCCGTTTTGCAACTCTGAGCAAAAATTTGACGTCTTCACCATAAGGTGGATTCCGTGCGTATTTGGCCTGTGGTCGATCGTCGTGAACTCTGCGAGCCAAAGTTTCCATCGCTAATAAGCCTACGCGATATGCAGAAACAAGAGTTCGTAATTGATGCTGATTAATTCCCTGACTTTGTCTGTGAACCTAAACCAAAGATATTGATATATTGTTATTGATAATTAAATAATTACTTTGTTACATATTTTTTATATAGATATATGTATATTTATATATTTACACACACACACACTGTGTGTGTAATATACACACACATATGTATATAATTTATTACAAAATTTACTTGAGGTCTAACAGTTGGTATAATAGGTTGCGTTTGAACCAGTGTTGCTCCAGGTAAGTTATTTTGTCCAGGCAGCGGACCTGCTACTCCCGTTTGAACCTAAGAAAATATATAAATATTATATTTCTTATACACACCAAAACAGAATGCACGTAACAAAACAAGTACAAAAAATATATATAAGAAAAAATACTTAAAAAATAATTATTGTGAATTTAATTATATAATCGGAAATTTATATTATATTATTTGGCTTTGTGATGTTTACCGGTAGAGGTTGTTGCATTGTGTACAAGTGACGAGTTCCTGATGTCGGTGGAGGTGGCTGTGATGTGTAATATGGTCCGGGTGGAGGAGGCGGGGCGGCAGAAGGCGGATGATGCGATGGATGTTGGGGATGTCCTGGATGATGTGGATACGGATGATACATTTGCATGTGCGGCGCGGAAGGTAAAGTGACTCTATGCGACGGTATCGGACCACTGTATGTCGCAATAGAATGATGAGGATGTAGAAAACTATATGGGCCTACGGCATACGGTAAGCCGACTCCTGTAACAGAATTACGCGATAATATAGTAATAAAAAAGTTCAATAATGTAAAAAAAAGTAATAAATTGCTAATCAATTATTTTACCTAGTGGTGCCAAAGTAGTAATTGTTGGATGAGTATAAGGTTGAGGAGGCGGTTGCGTACTAGTGACAACAACTGTCTGTGTTGGCCCGGACATCATCTGAGTGTTCGAGATTTCTACAGGTCCTGGTTCGACCAATAATACTCCGTTGAGATCCAGTTGCAAAGAATCATGAGGAATCTCATCTTGTTGATCCGCACCAGGTGTTTGCTATAATTGACAGAAGAAATTTGTATAAAAAGATAAAATTTATTTGATAAAAAAAGTAATTAATTAACGCTGAAATAAAGTTTAGCACTTACCCGAAGATATAATTCATACCAGTACTTTGCTACTTGGAACAATACTTCTGGATAAACACCGCCACCTTTCGCGGCGTTTTCTACTGTGATGCAAGCCTTCTCCAACATAGCTTCGCTTTGTTCCTTGCACTAAACAAATAATAAAACATTCACAATACGTAAACGTTATAATCTTCTAATAACACGAAGTTGAATTGTGCTTAACACACATTCGAGTGTATTATTACACGTACTTGAGATATAGCTCTCTGGATTTCATTGGGATTGAGTGCGTGGGCATGCGGCAGGCAGGATAAAGCGAGCTCCGCCGCCGCTCGAACCATATTCGGATCGCTACCTCTCGAGGATTTATCGGCTATACTGACTGCCTCGGGTGGCGTCAGATGACCTTCCCAGCTGTCAATTAGAAACCAAATTGCCGGCGCTCCGATCTCCATTGCCTGGCCAGTTATCCAAGACACGTGGCTCGAGTACGTGCGACTAAGCCAGTTCGGGCTGACGCAGTTGTGAAGACCGAGAGCATACAAGCCGAGCTGAAAGGCGCACATATGAAGCGCTCTGTGCGGACCGTGATGATTTTGACTGGTAGATGGTTGGGTAAATAACGAAGTCGAACTGGTACCACCGGCTTTCGATAAAACTGTCTTCGCTAGTTCGCACATGAAATGCGCACTCGCTTCCGACGGCTGATTTGGAATAGACGGAAATAGCCTTTTGTGTTTATATCTGAATAAAAAAAAAAAAAAAAAACACAAAAGATACAGTAGATAAAAACTTGATATACAAGAAACAATAATGTACATATATGTTGTATGTAAACACACCGTAATTCTTTAGTTCTAATAGGCACAGTTGGCTGAACAATCGGCGGTTGTATGGTTAATACATTCATATTCTCCAGTTCCGCACTTGTACTGCTATGAGGTCTGCTGCTGCTGCCAACGATGTTATCGCCATTTCCGCCGTAGTCCGTTCCGACGAGAGGCGACGAACATTCCTCATCGTGAACATATCGCATCGACTAAAACGTTCGTTAAAATATTATTAAATATTGCATGCGCAGACCTCAATTTTCGTATATTAAAAACTGTATCTTTTTTTACCTCGCTCTTAGTAGGTGGATTTGCGGTATAATAGCTACTCAGAATGGGTGATCTGATTAACTGATGAACATCTCGGTCTAGCAATTTGTCCATGATTCTGGCTAATTTTACGGGATCATCTTTATAATGTACGAGCAGAGTGATAGCCAAGTCTCCTCTGAAGAGAAAACAAAATTGTAATTCAAAAAAAATACTCAGAAAGTGTGACAGAATATTTTATATGAAACTTTCTAGTCTCTTAATAATGTGAACACGTTACCTTTGTCTACGAGTTCCTTCACAAAGAAGCGGGTGATCTGCTTCGCTTACATTCGCTTTTAATCCTAAAACAGCTACGGCTGCGTCAAATCCAAGATTCGGGTCAATTTCTGCTGGCAGTTTTCCTCCTAGAAAACAATTCGAATTTGTAATCTCTCTCTTTATATACAATGTATTAAGATGTGTGTCTTTTATCTTGTTATAAATCATATTTTATTATTTAAATAATAATTTTAAGAGGAAGGAAAACAAGAACACTACGTATAGTCCAGTCAAGAGACACATAAAAAGAGACCTTGCAAAACATGAAGAAAAGTTTATATTTGATATAGTTTTTAAGTTTGGCATACTAATTAATATTCTGAGTTTTCGATCTTGAGGCGTTTCCGCTCGCGCCGCCATATTGGAAAGATGGCAAAAAATCACTCTTTTTTGCGGAAATCTCGTTTCCGATGCGAGTCACGTGAAAAATAGCTATTATAAAAACTGTAGGGTATACAATTCCCTACAGTTTTTTGTATAAAACTGTTGTTTCCTCTCAGATAAATTGTTTCCGACATACAAGATAGATAAAGCGAATTTTTTTCCCGAATTTGTCAAAATATTTCATTTTTTTCTTAAAATTTTAGTTAATTGTTATACCAAATATAAATTTTTTTTTACCTTTTTCGAGTTAAAGCCCACCTACTTGACTGGACTAATAAAATATATTCCTTACTAGGTACGTCAAGTGCATCATATATGAAGCTGGCCAACATGATAGGCAAGAGAGCGTGTCCTCTCAATCTCAAAACGCCGTCTCTCAATTGCTCAGCACGCTGTTTTATCATAGCTAACTCCGTCGGTCCCAAAGGAATTCTCTTCAACAGACCTACTAATTCGCTTTCTTGATGAGCGAGTTTAACCTAGTTAAATTGAAGATTTATCGTTAATCTTAATTGAATAATGCAAAAATTCAGCATCAGATTTTGTGGTTTCGTCCAATTTTACCTCCAAAGGTTTCGTGTTAGCTGGCGGTCTAGCCATCTCTAAGCCAAAGAGGCCCACGCGAAATGCCAAATTGTGATGTTCGGGATTTTCAGCGAGTACCGTGCACAAGAATCCACATTTTGCTAAAGTTGCTGATGCGAGACTCGTTACTTGATGAGACGACGGAATTACGTTCTGATATTATAAAAACAACCAACATTATTATATTTAATATTTTGTTAGAAAAAGAAACACGCAATGTACACAATGTAGACAGGCTGAAAGAGAGAGCGGATAAAGAGGGAAAGAAATCTAGCACTAAAAATTCTATTTATAAAAACTTACCTTTTTCTTCTTGTTCTTTAGCGCCATTGATGATCCTTCGTGATATCGAGGGGAGGAGTGACCAATAAGATTCGGAGGATTGGCCAGAAGTTCTTCGGCTAGTTGCACTCCGATGATGCAGGCTTCTCTCGTATGACCGTGAGCGTAAAGCCCTTCCGCCCGCGCAAACAGAATATCCCATCGATCTTCCGTCTTCTTCAAATTCTTCAATACCGTACTGGCATCCGGGGTGGCGAAAGTATGTGTATTGCTCGCGACATATTTATTATTCAAACCACCGTTGTTGGTTATGGCCTTCGGATCATAATAATAAATATTATATTCGTCGCCGGAAGGACTGTCGCTGCTGGACGACGAGCTCTCGTCCTTGAACGGTCTCCTAGTTTCCTTTTCCTGATCGGATTCTCGTTCGTTCTTAACTCTGATTCCTTTCGGTACAGTCGCGCGCGATTTATCACGACACTCCGCAAGATTTGTCCTACTACACTTCGCGTTCCCGCAGGCGGCTTTGTTATTACTACTATCACTACTATCACTATGAGTCTCGGACGAGGCGTTTGAGCGATGCTTGTCCGAACCTTGAGCGTTCTTCAGGCTAACATTACTGTTGGAAGATAATTCGCTACCAGCCCCCTCCTAAATAATAATATATAATATGTTATATATGATGTAAGTTTTTAAACAACTATATTCTCTAAATGTGAATAAAAATGTTTAATATATAAAATAATGACCTGCGAGTCAGTGTCGCCGCAATTATTTAATTGAGCACAACCTTGTCTGAGAACAACCTGAGACTCGGATATATCGGGAATGTCGGTGTCATTCTCACAAAAACCCTCGGAACTAACGCTGCTGCGATTTCCGTCGCCGCCGTTGCTTCTTGAACACATCGGGAATTCGCGTGGATTCAGCCGCCGTCTGTCCAAATAGCTGAACTCAATGAGACCAACATTCAACGATGACGTTCGTCGACCGTGATGATGAGAAACCAAGGGCGGTTGATAATTCAATACGGCCGAACTGGAATTTACCTGGAAAAAAAACATCGTACACTAATTTATATTGAAAAAAAAATCTATTCTATATCGCATTTCTCAACTAACTTTGTGTTTTTTAATCAATTATCCAAAAAAGAAGAAAATAGTTGAAAGATACTGACTTGATTAACCTCCGTTCTCGTGTCGCCGGTATGCCGAAAACATGTGAAAGGACAATGATACATAGGATTGTTCTCGGCGGTGTACGTAATACCCGGCAAAACGTATTCGTCCCAATCGAGATAACAGGCTTCGAGTGCCGACTTGAAGCCAGTAAAGACTGCGAGATCGTGTTTTAGAAATTCTCTATGCGAGTCTCTGTACGAATTATTACTTTTGCTACTGTGAGAGTTGTGCGACACAGAGCTGCCACGACACTTGGCGACCTAAACGCAATACAATTAATTAAGTTGTTAACATTGACTTTGTTTCAAAAAAAAAAAAAACTTTATTCAACAAAAACAAAAAGCAAAAAAGAGAGACGCTCACTTTATCTATAATCTTCAAGTGCCAAGCCATAAATTGAGCATGCAACATTTCGCGTTCCGCCGGCGAGAGACCGGGATTGAGAGCGGCCAGTCGCCAGAGAACGACAATCTCGTCGCACAAGGACGAGCACGCGTGTTGCGAGGCGTGCACGTTGCTGTTCATGTTGTGTTTGCTGCCGTATCCGGTGCCGTTGAGTAAAGCAACCTTAGTGTTAAACCACCAAACGAGAATCTGATCGCAGGCCATGCACTCCTCGGTAATGATCTCCAGCAGCGGTATAGCGTTGCGATCGTTTCTCTTGAACATCTCGCGCACAATGGAGAGCAAATTCCACATACCCTCCGGCTCGCGGCCTCTCAACGGTCGTAGCAACGATGCCCATTCGGACGCGGCCGGAGGCGCGGTGGTACTCAGATAATTAACATCGCTAAAACAGACATCGCGGAATGAGTTATTTCATCCTCGTAAACACTCGCGCTCGCTAATATTCCTCCATTATTCACCTGAAAACTATCGGAGCCGGAACGCAAAATTTGATGAGGATCTTCTTGATGTTATTATGCAGTGTTTTCTCGTCTAAGTACCAAGAGGTCTGATCGTGAGCGGAAGCGCCGGCGGTCGGATCCGGAGCTCCGCAGTAGCTGTTAATGGCGCTCGGTTGAGCCGAGAGAAGCTCATCCAGAAGCCGTTGAGCGGTTGGCAAAATCTGCTGCGGTAATTCGCTGATAAGATATTGAGCGAATTTCTGAAGTTGCTCGCGATGTAATCGCGACAGCGATTCACTGACCGGTGCTCTCAGACATACTTGCGTTGGCTGGAAAAAAAAAAACAAAAAAAAAACACAATGAAACAAATGTTCTTTCATATCGATGTGTTACTGCTGTACATGTACAGAAGTAATCGCTGCAGATAAATACTTTTATAACAGAATCTAAATTTTGCGAATCTATTTAATTACATTTCTTTTTTATACGTGTGTAAAAAATAAAAACCATTTTTCAAAAAAATTTAAAGTCTAGAATTTATAGAATTTTACATATATATTCTCTCTCGTGTAATTTTAGAGTTCAATACATTGTTCTTGTCAATATTTAAAAAACAAAAAAAAAGTAACATGCGTGCGCATACCATGTGTATTCTGTGCAAGCAAACGGCCACCACGTGCGCGCACCAATACGCCGTTGAGGAGCAAGTGCAATTGCATGATGTGATTCTACGTCGGTCGAAAGTCACGGCGACGTTGAATTGCGCTCTGACACCATTTGTTTGTGAATTTACGCTGGCACTCAGATGAAATCCTGTCCAATAGGGATTTTTTTTTTTTTTTGTGAAAACAATTAATGAAAAACATATTACTCAAAAAATTCCGGATAGAAGATAAAAATAAAAGATTTATACAACATATACGTCTATATATATACTTACAAGGTAAGCTGCAAATGTTACGTTTATTTCTCTTCTCTTTTATAAGACTACTTTTACAAATTTAAGGTAAACTTCTGTATCCGTAAACGCGAACAAACAAATTACCAATCTGCAACGGTTCCTTGACGGTTTTGGCGCGATAGAGATGTTCGCCTCGTAGAAATTCATCGGCGCTACCGTTCGCAAGACATGAGTAAAGCCGTATGTCCTCTTCGTTATCGGGAAAGCTCCAAAAAGCTATTCTCAGCTGAAGCTGCTCCGGTACAGGTGGATAGAAATGTTCCACCAACTCGAACGGAATATGCGACGCGACGCATCGCGCCGCAAGTTCGCAAAGAGTCGGCACCGTTTGTTGTCCATCTGCAACACGGAATAACATAATATAATAACAACAATATAACAACAAGAATATCGACATAAGGTTTATCAAATAAAATGTGTTGTCGGAAGTTTCGAAAGAGAAAAAGAAATATATATGCTCTGTTCGCGAGCGCACAAGATCGCTCGTGATTATTTTCTTGCAAGTTTTCTATTCGCTGTTTACTGCACGCGCTACTGCGAAATAAAATGGCACGATACTTTTCCTATAATTTTGCGTTCTCCGCAATTACTACGTGCACGTGCAGAAAAATAGTTTGTCGCGAATTTCAGTTTCGCTGAGACAGAGAGATGTTTTCTTGCGGCCACGAACACGGGAGCACGTAACTAACCGACCCGCGGCGTTGTGTTCGCGATAACACATATAACTGAATATGTGTGTGTTTTTTGCAAATTTGCCACTCGCGAGTTAGCGTGAGTTCTAGCACGCGCGATTTTGCCGAAAGATAAACTCCGGGAAAGAAAAAAAGTGTCGTTACATCTCATCCGCGATATTCCGTGACGCTGAAACTATCACTTGCGTGCAAACAACTTTGTCGCGGAAAATATCTAACAAGTTTTCGCGCAGCGATTATCGATGTATTATACAACGTCAAGAAGAGAGAGAGAGAGAGAGAGAACTGTTAAATGGATAAAAAGCGCACACACCGGCGAATTTTTCCTCTCGCCTTTCATTCTCCGGGTCTTTCTCGCCCAGCAACCGTAACGAGCTTCGCGGTCGCGGTTTTGCCGCGCAATGTAATTTCCTTGAGTTTCAACGAAAGCTGCGACTGCCGCACCGGAAAATTCTCTCGGATGGTCATGTTCTCCGAGCTTGTCCAATCTACCGCCGAGAGTACTACCCAAGTTGCACAAAAATTTTCTCCGTTCCATGTGAATCGCTTTTTTTTTTTTTTTTTTTTTTGCGTGTAATCCATTTGATCGAATAAAGGAAGAGCGAGATATTGAGTTAGTTAGCATTTGTCCGCTCGCGATGTCGAGAAATAGCGATTTTATATTTTTGCAGACCAACATACCGATGTTGACCTACGTGTCTGTGACATTAATATCTTTCTCTCAAAAAATCAAGAGAGAGAAAAAGATAATAAAAAAATAATTTTGCTATTTAAAAGAGATATTATATATATTATATATATATTATATATATATTATATATATTTAAAAGAGATATAAATTTAAAACGAGAGAGGACTGTGTTACACAAACTTTTTTTTTTCTCGTAATATTCATTTGTAAACACTTCGATTTAAATATAATTCTTTTTTAATATCCGTTCAAAATTTATCAAGCAACTTTGTCTCATAAGTAAGCTATTTGTCTAATAATGAAACAACTCGAAAGTAGCATTAGAAATAACGCGAAGTAAATTTATACAAGCGGGGAAAATGCGTTGTTAAAAAAAATAAATCTCTACAATATATTTATAAAATTAAAATCGAGAGACGCGACGTCTGCGCGAATACAAATATTTCTAGTCAGATCCGCGGAGCACGCATCAATGTTCGGTTTTCATGCTCCGGATACTCGGCAATCAAGTTGAAATTGAATCAATAGAAATTGAATTTCCATTAATAATAGGCCGCAGCGTGGTAATGTCATTTCCGCTCACCGGAGTCGGTTGAGAGAGCTCGCGAAGCTCGTTCCGTCGTTGTCTCGTTTCTACCGTTTCGATGAGCGAGAGGACTGCATTTCACGGATATGGCAAATACAATCGACGCCGATAGGATAATCGAACTGTTGAGCTTAGCAATCGCATTAAGCTGACTAGTGCGACAGTCGTTACTTACACCTGCTATTCAATGAATAATCGTCGCGCGTCTCGGGATTATTCTAACTAACTTACAGACAGACAATTAAATCACTTAGAAAGTGTGCGCAACAATAACAATCATTTGTATATTCAATTTGAATTTATAATTATAAATAATTATATAAAATAATTTATATTATTATTTTACACTCCATGCGTGTAATTGTAGTTACATTTTCTCTTCGAAGTGATATAAAAAAAAAAATAGAATAGAAGTGTAGTAAGCTTCAATAAATTCTTCTATAAAACAAGAAATGTATAATGGCCATTTGAAGCAAAAACACTGGTGATAACGTGTGTATGATAGATGCATTACTTTATTCAAGCAGGTAACATATAATAGAACGTTTTCGGCCTTAGATTAGGCCTTTATCAATATATATATAAATATGATGTTCTTGAATTAAAACTTATACAAGTCACATGATTACAATATAGAAATATTAAAGTAACTGAAGATTTTATATTATAATATTAAAGTAACTGAGAACTCAGTTACTTTAATATTTCTATATTGTAATCATGTGACTCGTATAAGTTTTAATTCAAGAACATCATATTTATATATATATTGATAAAGGCCTAATCTAAGGCCGAAAACGTTCTATTATATGTTACCTGCTTGAATAAAGTAATGCATCTATCATACACACGTTATCACCAGTGTTTTTGCTTCAAATGGCCATTATACATTTCTTGTTTTATAATAAAAAAAAAACAAAATAATTAAACAAGTACTTTTTGATTACAAATTCTCTTGTGAGTTTTTACGTATTAAAAGTAAACACATTAATTTTATCGAGTAAAAAATTACATCTTGTGAGATCTATCTATTTTCTATGTAATAAATGAAATTTTTGAACCGCGAGTAATGTATTATCTCATCAGAATTATCTAGTGACATTATCCGAAATACACAATCTCACAATGGGGGGGGGGGGGCGGTTAAAATTTGCATCTAATTCGAAATGCGCCTTATCTCCGTCAATCTGTTACACGGCGCGCGTATTTGTATCAATTCGCAAGTATATACGCACAACACTCGAGAAGACTTTACTTTACGTTTTATCACCGTAGACGGCATTCTCGCACCGGTTTTACGGTCGAACGCGGAATCATGCCTGCGCGGAAAATCATAAAAGAATCATGAAATGTTTTATAATTTGGCATATCTCACTGCAATACTGTTATTTTAGTATCCGCGTCGCGATGAAACGACTTCCCTTAAACGATGTATGTACAAGTAAATGTATAATTGTGTGGATCTCTCTTTCTCTCTCTCTCTCTCTCTCTCTCTATACATACACATAAGAATGATTCGGTCAAGCGCTGAACTATCTTTGTAATACATCTCCGTATATATTGCCGACATGCAGAAAAATAGTATGTCGATAAAAGAAAGAATCAACAAAAAAGTGACGACTCTTTATGAAATGTTGCGCGCGCGCGTTTAAAAGAGTTAAAGATTTATTTTCTGGAAAAAAAAAAAAAAAAAAAAAAAAAAAAAAAAAAAAAAAAAAAAAAAAAAAAGCATTTTCTTTCCGCAACCATGCGCGCTTTTCGCGCGTCATTCGAAACGCGCTTGTACATTTCAGGGTTGTATTTTTCTTTTCTTGCAGACACAGACGAAGTGGCAAGAGAGCAACGTGGAAAAGTGATTGGTGTCAGCAGTCGTCATTGTGCAATCGCGAGACATCAAAGCCCCATTGACGTGTTGATCGGTAGTGGAAAGTAAACGATTCGTTAACCATTGCACGTGGCGTGTGTGTGCGCGCACACACACATATGTTTGCCGTAAATTTTCAGCTTATTCTCCACGAGACGTTTACTCGATCTCCGCGATCTAAATCTTATCGATCCACGATCGAAGACTCAATATTGTACGGCGCGAGTCCCGCGATAAAACGGGCGTCTTTTAAAAAGACCGGAATTGAATCAATTTCAAGAAAAGCGACTTTGTCAGCGAAATAAGTTGCGTTTTCACTCAGCTTCAAATACTTCTGCTTTTTCAGAAAAAAGTGACACAATTGCTTTTATTCCTCAAAAAAATAGAAAATAGAAAATAAAAACTGTTTTAAAAATTCAAGTGTTGTTTTTAAATATTGTGTTAGATATAAATAAAAGAACTGACGTTACTTTGAAATCGATTGGTCGCAAACCGGAGCTTTGAGCTCGGGAGAAATTCTATTCTCACTCCATTTCACAAAGCGAGCAAAGAGTTTAGGTTACGAACTTAATCCAGAGATGAGAAACCGAGCAACGTTTAAATACCCCCAATGGGAGAGGAAGAAGAGGTACGTCGGGGTTAGAGAAATCGTAGGAACTTTTAACGCGTAATAAAAAGGAACGCTCGTCTCTTCTCTTGTCTCGGTGCGCCCGTCCGTCGTGCAATGAAATTACATTCCGCCAAAAATGGTCGGGATATAAGAACTTCATAATTCATTGCGAACTTCGTTTTAACGCGATAGATCACAATGTGACTTTGTTACTCGGCGCAATATACGCACGAGATTTGGCACGAGATGTTCCGAATGTAAAATAGGATATGTAATTTAAAGAAAAGACAAATAGCTTCAAAGATTTTGAAAATCAAGGTGAGAGACAGTTGAAGCAAGACACGGATGTTGTTGTGCAAACACGTGAAGATGATTTTTATTTTCAAGATTTCATAATGTGTATGTATAATGTGATAACGTTTCGACTATCGGTTTAAGTCTTTATCAAAATCTTTAGTAATATGCTGTTGTTAAAGTCGTCGTGTAACGAGATGGAACACATGTTAACACNTGAGCTGTCAATTACTGATTACAATCAGTAAAAATCATTTCTCACCTTGATTTTTAAAATAGGATGGTAAGTGTGGCGCTAGAAAGAACATAACGACTTTCTAAAATATGTTGAAAACGATAAATAGCTCCAAGTAATTGATAATAGTATGGTTAAAGGCAGTTAGAGCATAACACCGGTGTCGTTGTGTGAATATGTAAGAAGTTGATTTATTTGAAACAAGCAAGTATATAAACGTTTCGACCTTCTTTTTATTTCAGTAGCATTTAGTTGCTACTGAGCTTCTCATTGTAACACGTTTTTGAATAATGTACATCATATTGCGAAGCAAACTAACATCAGCGTATCTAATATATTGATAAGGACCTAAAAAGAAGGTCGAAAC